GGGGGGGGAGTGCTATTGTGAGCGCGTGCCATAGTTGTTGGACCATTGGCCACGCGTCCTCGAGAGGACGGAGCATCGTTCCCACAGGTGTAGCCATGCAACGCGTGCCGTAATGGCAGGACCATCGACCTACTGGCATACGGGGACGGAGCTGTATGCTGGGTTTTCGCCTGCCCAGGCTACTAATGAGGCGGGGGCGGATGTGCGGATGCACTAAATACTGCTGTTTTTGGTTGCCGTTTTGTCGCTTTTCTTATTTTTTTTGCAGTCAAGGCACGGTCCTCTGTGTTGGGAGTTATTATGTTGTGTTTTAAGCGTTGTACAAAAGATGTTCGGGGGGGCAGGAGACTAATTCGCTGGGTCAAAAACACATACGCGCGCGGGCGTAATACACGACAAGACATGTTTGGTTCTCTGCGAGTCCAACGCTGCATACACACTTGAAGCGGGATAGGGGGCGGGGCTGGTACTTGATTTTTTTTTTTCTTAATTCATGTGACACAAAAACATCCACATCTTTCCGTGGGTAAGGGTCTAGGATAAATAAGCAGCGAATTTATAGGGTTGACGGAGCAGTAGCTGTATGTCTACGATTCCTCAAGCAGCATACAGCGATTTCTTCCCTGCGGGAAACAGACCCTGCAAGATTTTCGTTTTTTTTTGCCTTTTTATTTGGAGATGAATGTGTAGACGCGCGTCACCCGCGATTTGGCGTCCATGAATTCGTCGAGTGCGTTCCGCTTTCGCAAGGAGCGCTTTGGCATGGTCAGCATAGCAATGGAGCCAGCAGTGAGTGCTGTTGATCATGTTTGGTCGGTCGGGCACGATAACGACGAGAGTGTTCTTTCACTCGCTGGAAGGACTTGTCGCAACCCTTTCGATGGTTATGGTTTTACCTCTACACTCGTAGGCCCTCTACAAGGCGGGTGCCCGCTGCAGGGCCGGGTGAAGCTGGCTGGCAGAGATGGAATATTTATTTTCAAGACGGATAATACATTGAAAAGGGCGGGTGCCCCCTATAGCGCGGGTCAATCGGTCTGGCGCGTACCTGCCTTATGGAGGGCCTACGACTGTAACGGCTGTGTAGTCTTTTCTGTGATTTGTGTGCATGTTTTCTGATACTAGGATTCTCACCCGTTTTGTGTTGTCCAATGTGTACCCCGCCATGTCCTTGTTCTCTCTTGCCCGCCGCTTCTGTCTGCGACCCCCCCCCCGGCCTTGCAGGACTCTGGAGACTCTACCCAGCACCGCAATAAGTGCATCCAGATCAAGAACCGATACCTGCCGCGGGGACAACACCAGACCTTGCTCTTCTCCGCCACATTTCCTAGGTTCGGTGGAAGTTTTAAAGTTTTCGATGTGTAGCGTCGCTCCTGGAAAGAAGTTGACGGTTTGCAAGCAGGCAGCACGAGGGAGCACGCCTCGAACTAGCACAGACCCCTAGAATTCGAAGAACGATAACCGCTCGTTCTCCAAAGCACGGAAGACGACATTAAGCGAGAGCGCCCGCGTGTGTGTTACGTTGGCAGTAGTAGCAAGGAGGGATGGTGGCGGTATTTGTCTCCGAAGGTATGCGTCGTATTTTGTCGAAGTACTAGACTATCTGTGGGGAGCAACAGATGAGTCTCCCCGTCCGCAGCCGGGGCGTTTTGTCTTGACGTCATCGTCACCCGCTAATGCTGCTGTTGTTGCTGCTGTTGCTGCTGCTGATGCTGCTGATGCTGCTGTTTGTTGCTGTTTGTTGCTGTTGCTGTTGCTGCTGCTGCTGCCGCTGCCTCTGCACACAAACGCTTCCTTCTTGTCTGTTTTTGGCGGAGTAGAGAGGTCAAGGAGTTCGGGCTTCAGCTGGCTCAGTCCCCAGTGAACGAAATCAGTCTACCCGACGAGCAAGTGAGTGGTGAATCAGAGTTTGTGTTTGGCGTCGTCGTTGTTGGTTTCGTCGCTCTTGTCTAATTGTTGTGGATGTTTGTCTAGCTAACGAGGAGAGCAAGTGGGGGGAGAGTCATCGTGGTGTGGTGGTAGTTTTGTCGTGGTTGCTGTTGGGGCGTTTTGGTCCCTTTTTTGTTAACAAGAGTAGCATTTCGGACAAGCAGATGTGACGAAGAAACAGTGAGAGGGAGCAAAACAAGCTGCAGTAGAAGTGGCGTGGGTATCCGTGCATGTTGCTGGGAGGGGACGAGCTCCTCATCATGAGGTAGTACTTGCCTTGAGTCCTTTTTGCCTTTGGCCTTGCGTTCCTTTCGGAACCGAGCATGGCTGCTCCTCGTGTGAGCCACCTTTCGCTTGTCCGTAGGGGGCACGGAGTGGGGAAGGGGATCGGTTGAAAAGAGGAATCAAGCTAATACCCCCTCGCCCAAGTCGGAGTCAATTGCCTAACGACTACGGCATGCACGGCTATGAGTACACCCCCCCCCCCCCCCCCCCCCCCCCCCCCCCCCCCCNCCCCCCCCCCCCCCCCCCCCCGACCTCGCAAAGGTACTGACCCTCACACTACCATTGTTGCCTGTTCTCCTTCGCTCGTGTTGTAACATGGTGTCCATTCAACCGTCATTGTTTATCGATCAGGATTTGGTTCTGGACGTGATCACCCAGCTGTGGATCGACCTTAGGCACACCCGACAGTCCCGCCTCGAGCTCATCCAGGTAAGTCGAGCCAGCAAGAGCTGTGCTTTCGGCGGCTCCGGCTGACTCGTGACCCCGCCGTACCGACCCGGGTGTGCGTTGACAACAATGTCTTGAGATGTGTGGCGGTGCCTGCACGAGCTGTGCCGTGGGCTCTGGCTCATGTGATCGAATTTACGGTTTCAGCGCGACGGCGCGGGGAAACACGGATAGCTGTCGTTGTTTTCCTTTTGCCTCTGTCATTGTTGTTTGGTTTGGTGTGAGGCACTCACTTCGCAACTTTTTGCATTGGTTGCTGTGTGCGTGCGTTGTTGTTGTTGTTGTTGTTGGTGGTGGTGCTGCTGCTGCTGCTGCTGCTGCTGCTGCTGCTACTGTCGTCGTCGTCGTCGTCGTCGTTGTTGACGTTGTTCGTGTTGTTTTCTTTGCTGTTGCTTCTGTCATTGTTCGCTCGCTTAGCTATTTATAAGCAAATTCTTGCACTGGGTCTTTGTGTGCATGCATGATTCACCGGGCGCTGCTTGACAACGTCACGTCATGATGATGCCGATGTTGCCAGGAGCTGTATGACGTCTTGGAGATGGGTCAGAGCATCATCTTCTGCAGGACAAAGAAGGAAGCCGATCTGATCAACGAGAGGCTGCAGGTATATACTACACACATACCGTTGGTTCTTCCGCGGCCTACGCTCTGGCGTACCACTTCTTCGTGATGATGTTCTCGTTGTGTGTGGCTCACTTCTTGTTTTCGCTCTTTGCAATCTGTACTTTCTTGCCCTCTTTGTGCTGGTGTTGCAAATTTCTGTGTATCGTTTGTGTTTTTCGTGACAGGGCGCAAGGACTCAAAGCTCCTTTTGCGGCTGGGTGTTTAAGTTTTTTTGTTTTTGTTTTTTGTTTCTTGTGTGCATCGTTTTTGTTTTTTTTTTCGTGACAGGCGCAAGGGTTCACGTGTTCGGTCCTCCACGGCTCCCTGGATGGGTTAGACAGAGACGCCACCATGGAACAGTTCCGCCTGGGCCACAACAAGGTGACTGTGGGGGTAACGTTTTTTTTTTTCCAACATGCCCCTCTTGGGGTAGTTGGCCTGTGGCCACGGGAGGCGTCCGCGTCAGTTGGACCAGCACGAATATCAGAAGGTTCATAAAGGCTGGTTTGAAGTGAAGACAAAACAAAGAAAAGCAGCGGATACCGGAAGGTGAAGAGGCAGCAACAGCAACCATTTTCGTGCTCAAGTGCTGGGTTTCGAAGCAGGCGAAGGTACTCTGGGGCTTCTTCCCTTATGTTTTACCCATTTCTTTGCTCACGTGTTGAGTTTCGGAGCAAACGAAGGTACATTATGTGCTCAACTTTGTTTTCATTTCGAAGCACGCGAACCCTCGGCTATTCTTCTTTTATTATTATAGTTCATTGCACCATTTATGTGGTCAAGTGTTGGATTTGGAGCAAGCAAAGGTACCCTCGGGTCTTCCTAGTACAGTAGGTGTCCCGATATAGTGCCGGTAGTTGTCCAGGCGATTTGACCGGCATTATACCGGGCACCGGCACTCTTCAGAATTGTGACCTGAATAGTGCCTAACCGGCACTATTCAGGGCTTGAATCCCCCTCTACAGTGCCGGCTGGGCACTATTCAGGACTGTTCGACTTCAGAGTGCAGCGCTTGCGCTTTGCGGGGCTGGCAGAGTACCCAAAGAACGGTATCTGGATCAATCGTGAGGTGGGCGACGTGGGCGGGCTTCATTAAGCTTCGTGAGGCTATTGGACTGTCGAGAACACGGCATTGGTAACATCAAAATTAACTTGATTGACCAGATAGATTTGTTGCACAGCAGTTGTTCTCGTCCCACCTCAGCGCAAGCACTCGCCAGTGAAACGTTGCTGCTGCCTTTCAACCGTCGACCGTTCTGCCCGATAAATGTTCACCTCGCTATCAAATTATTATGTATTACCGCAAGCAGGCCGTAGCACTATTCAGGCAACCTCAAAGGCATTCCTCGACAGCGAAGCGAAAGAAAGACGCTCATGCACGCACCCGATGTACATTTGGAGGTACAACATGGATGGATGTAGTGCTCCTTACAGGAGCACACAAAAGCAGATGCACCCTAAACAAGGGGTGAAGAAGGTAACGAACTCCCCTGTTTCTTCGATGAAAAGCTAGAGAGAAGACCAAGCCTTCAGAAGCAAGAATAACAATTGGCCAACCAAAAGACGTCAGTCTCAGTGCGGTCAAAAACAGAAAATATTTGTTTCTCAAGGCCGTGAGAGGGCCATGGAGGAGGCTGAATTATTCTCCGGATGAAAGACAGAAATGGTAGCAACAGGGAGAGGAGAAGTTCGTGACTGCCAAGGCTCACTACGTTTTGAACACGCGTTCGTTTCGGAGTGTTTTCCTCCTTCCCCAGAAGTATTTTATTACCACCACCACTACACTCTGTAAATAATATTTTTTCCACTATTTTTCGGGCTTTTATCTCCAGATTCTGCGCCCCTGGGGCGTTTTTTGTGAGGAAGGTCATCTCGCTCGAAACTCTTGTCGTTCCCCTCAACGCCATGTTTTCCTCCTGCGCCATCACTGCCATCCTTGGTTATATTTTTCCTGTCCTTCGTCACTACAGTACCACCATGTTTCTTTTCGCTCTCCTCACTACTGAAATCCCAGCCGATTGGTGGAACCTGGTCGATCGGTAAACCGTGACATTTGAAGACGTCACGCGTACCGGGAGAAACCGAGCTATACTTGTAGTCCGAAGCGAAGGCTTGAGGCGGAAAAAGGCTGTGTGTGGGTTGTGAACCGGCACTATTGACAGGTTCGATAGTGCCTGAACCGGCACTATAGCGGGCAGCCCTGAATAGTGCCAAACCGGCACTATTCAGGCCTGTGCCTGTGCCGAGAAATTTACCGGCACTATACCGGACGTTGGCACTATTCAACCTGCACTATATCGGAACACCTACTGTACCATGCATATCTTGTGGACTTCTTGGACACCGGCTCGCTTTCTGCTGTACGCATTCATATTTGTTGTTTTTGTAAGGTTCCCTGAATCGAATGCACCCCTCCCCCACTCGGCCTACATGACCCATCCCAAAGCCACGATCAAAACGTCGAGAGGTACAAGGGGCACATCCGGAGTGGGCTCATCAGAGCATGGTAGCGGTGTCATCAAGGCGTGAATCAGCTGCCAGCTGCCATAAGTGACGTTTCTCAAGCTCAAGCGCGAATAGCTCACACAGCTGACCTCGACTAACCAAAAAGTCAAAGTCGATCAATGTTGAAACATTACGCACGCTTCGCATTTTTGCGATTCGACTCGCAGGTGCTGCTGACGACGAACGTTCTGTCGCGAGGGGTGGACGTGCCCGCAGTGTCGCTGGTGGTGAACTACGACATGCCGACGATGGGCTACTCGCAGGATCCCGACCCGGACACGTACCTCCACAGGATCGGCCGCACCGGGCGCTTCGGCCGCAGGGGCGTGGCTATCAACCTCATTCAAGTGAGATCTTCCTTATTTCTTTTTTTCATCTGTGTGTTTTATGTTTTATTTTAATTCAATATTGGGTTTGTTTCTCCTTCACTTTTTTTTATTTTAGACTTACGTGTTTTTTTCATATTTTTGTTTATCCTGTATTTTATTAAATCCTGTATGTGCTTATTTTTCACCTTTTTTTTTTTACTTTCAATCTTGGTTGTGTGTGTGCGTATTTTGGTGTGTGGCGTGATCTGTCTGGCGCGTCAAAGCGACGTTCGGAGGTGGCAATGGTCTGCAGGCTACGTACGACCCATGCGTGACATAGAAAATCAGCCCCCCCCCAACCCCCACCAGTGTTTGCCATCGGGGTTGGGTTTTCGTCGCTTGGCAACGACGTTGTAAAACAAGCCAATTCACTTCGTGAAGTTGGCAACCAGGTTACCTTTTTTTTTTTACCTCCGTTTTTTTTTTGGCGATAACCATAATGGTGGCCGAGTAGATCATGTTGTGCGGGGTGGAGAACCCTC